CGGCGGGAGCGCCGCCGCACTTCCAAGCGGCGCACTCTCCAGTGCGCCACCGGGCCGGCCCCAAATCTGGTGTATTCTGACCAAGGCCTTGGGGTCCCTTCTGCTGTGAGCCACAGTGCCGAGGAGAGCAGAGGCAGAGGGCACATTGGGGCTGCAGACAGGCCCGTCCCGGGTGTGACTTAACTGTCCTGTGGGTGCTTATGTGCTGCAAAGCGTTCTTACCTACCTCCGTCCTTCCCCAGGGAATGTCCTGGCCGGGCAGGACCAGGCTGATGGATTCTATCCAGACACTCCTCCATTCCTCTCTCCTTGCCCCTGGGCCAAGCACTGGCACTCAAGATGTGTCATCGCGAATTCCCAGAATACTTTCGCCTTATTGGTATCATTCCTGTTTCAGAGGTAAAAACCACAGCTCAGGAAGGGGGTAAATGGCAGAACAGGATCTGGGCCCAGGGGTGTCCCAGAGCCCGCCTTCCTGCAGGTCCAGGGCCTCTTGCAGAAGTCGGAGCCTCAGGTTTGTGGCAGGGGCAGCCCTCAGGCCAGCTGGTCCCTGACCTGCAGCCCCAGGGCTAGGGTTGGGGCTGGAGGATCCCTTCCCGCTGGGCCAGCCCTTTGTGGTCCTTAGAGCAAGGCTGGCTGGACGTTCAGAAGAATAGCCACTCCCCCTGCCCCTGCAATTTCCTGGTCCAGGTGGACAGAGACGTGGGGAGGTGGTAGCCCACGGTGCGTCCATGTCTTGGTTGTGGATGCAAGTGTGAATTTACACGTCCTCTGTGCGGCATGCAGTGACTCACATGTCCATGTGACATTGCACCAGGCCTTGGCTCGACTGCCTCAGGCTGGCGGGGAGGCAGACAGGGTCAGTGCCTGCAGTCTGAGGCCTGATGGTGGTACGACCCATCCCGGCGCTCAGAGAAGTGAGGCCTGCCCTGAGTGTGGGGGGAGTCCCAGGGAGTTGGGCCAGGTGGGGTGGGCAGGGCCTGGGCTCAGGTCCCACCAGGTCTGGAGGAATGTGCCGAGGCACTTGGTGCTGAGTGTCCCGGCGGTTGTCCCGGGCAGTAGCTGTAGCCGCAGCTTCCACCGATTTCTGACAGTTGTTAGGAGAATTAGGAGAGCGGCCTGCCCTCCTTCCCTCTTCACCCTTGGGTCTCTGCGCTGCCTCGGGGAGCCAGGCTGGGAGCCCTGGCTTCCTTCTGCCCTGCCGGGAGCCGGGGCTGGGGGCGCTTTGGTGGGAGGCCGTGGAAGGAGCTCAGCAACTAACTGGGCCTGGCTGGGGTGGGGTGACAGGTGGCCTCGCCTGGTGGGTGCGAGGTAGGGTCTGTGTGTCCCAGGTTTTTTTTGAAAAGCTGGACTGGCCTCTAGGGCAGGAGCTTGGTCACGGCCCATGGCGTGGGGCCTGGACTGCAGGAAGGACGGTGCTCTCAAAGCAGCAGGTGGGAAGCAGGCGGGTGACTGAGTGACCGAGTGACCGCGCCTCCCACCTTCTCTTCCAGGGACCCCGAGCATCATGTTAAAGTGAAGCAGAGAAGCTCAGTGCTGAACATGCTAAGGAGGCTGGACAAAATCAGGTTCAGAGGTCACAAGAGAGATGACTTCCTTGATCTAGCAGAGTCTCCAAATGCCTCGGATACCGAATGCGGAGACGAGATACCCCTGAAGATACCTCGGACCTCACCTCGGGACATTGAGGAGCTGAGGGACCCTGTGAGTACGCTGACCCCTAGTGTCCCTGCCTCCTGGCCCCTCAGTGTCAA